CGGCGGGTAGAAATCGACCTCTCGGGGATCGATTTATCGCGTCCCGTTGGGACGCGACAATCGATCCCCAAATCGACGCTCTTACTCCACCAGCGGAGGTGGGAGTAAGCGCCGTCGACAGAAAGCCGCAGAAGTCGATTTTGCCGCCGTCCTCACAGCGGGGTAAGTCAGCTGCGATACGTCGAATTCAGCTACGCTATTCACGTAGCTGAATTTGCGTATCTTAAATCGACTCCCCCCTGTAGTGTAGATGTACCCTAAGAGTAGCTTACTTCACTTTAGATTAAACCTATTCCTGGTCAACTTAAACTGAAATAGGAGTGTGTTCATATTCTTTTGCATCAGTTTATAAGTTGCAGCAACTCAGAATACAGAAAAATCCTAAGTAGCCAGGCTAATGTCAGATTTTAACACATTTAACCAAAATTCAAATGATAGAAAGGCTAGATCTACTTGGATTAAAAGTGATCGTCCTTTTTAGTGGCAACTATTTAATTTTCCATTGGTTTTCCAGTCAAGATCCCAATCTTTGAAGAATTCTGAGCCACTGCAAAAATATACAAAACAAAACGGTGAAAGAATGGTACAGTTAAAACTTAAGGAGACACTGTGAAATTGATTAGGCAACAAAACTGTCATACCACAAAAGTACTGTACACAAAAACCCAGCTGTGCACAACTCATTTATGTTAAGAACTACTAAAGGCAGGGTTCAATTTCAAATTAACTTCTCACTGTTGCAACTACAGATTTAAAAACTTAATTACATCATAGAGCCCACATACGACAACATTAGACTCAGAAATTTTCTAAAGACAGACAAATGAATCTATCATTAAAGGTAAGGCTAGTCACTTTCCAAAATTCAGCTCATCAATTTCCCTGACAGGTAATAAAGATTAATTTCTTTACACTAAAACCCAGGTCACTCACAATTAACAATGATGCTCTGTCATCTGTAATGTTTTCCCCACTACTCTTTCTTAGTATCCGAGAAGAGAATGACAATGCTACCATTTCAAACGTGAAAGGTTATTCTTTTCACATTTTTTAAATTAGAGAGACAAGATTACTTACAGCATCAAGGTGTTTTAACAATCTGCTTTTATGCACTAAATAAATCCCCAACCCAGGAGAGTACTAACCATATAAGTATCCTATTAAAGTCAGTTGCAGTACTCGTGTGCTTACAGTTAAGTGTGTGCGTAAGTGCTTTGCTGGATCAGGTCCTAAATAATGGGGCAAGTAGGAGAGAAAACTGAAAAATAGAGTTTTGTTCAATCTAATTCTGCAACACTCCGATCAGCATTATGTATTTATCTGTATATACCAAACCCATCTCCAAGTATCTGATCACTAGAGAAAACTTAAAAACAAGCAATAACTAAAATACATTAGGGACCAGTGGATCAGAGAGAAACAGCTTCTCTACAAAACACGTGGAAAGAAAAAATAACCCAACATGCCAATAATGCAAAGAATTGCTGAACATTGGGTCTTTAAGCCTGGTGAGTAAGTAAGTAATGCATCTATACCAAAGGTCATGAAATAGCAACAGAGGCAATTCCTTTCAAAGCTTCCTTTAGTAATTACTCTGGCTGGGATTTCAAAACAGCCTAAGGGAGTTAGGAACCCAACGCCCATTGGAAGCTGTATCCTTTCTGGTTTCTCCATGCATCTGAAGAAGTCGGTTTTTTACCCACAAAAGCTTATGCCCAAATAAATCTGTTAGTCTTGAAGGTGCCACCAGACAGACTCCTTGTTGCCTTTCTGCTTAGTTTCTGTAAAAGTGACCCCAAATACTGCCTACTGAGTCCTCTATACATCAGATCTTTTGGGTCATTTTTAAACAGCGTTTTGTCATATTTGTTCACTGTGGGCTATTACTATATCTGGCATATAACTGCCATATATACCACGTCTGTATGTCTCACTGTACAACAGGGCTCTGCTCCTCATTAGGGCCTCCAGGTGCTAGTGCACTACAAATAAATAATCCTGATCCCATCAAAGTTAATAGCAAAACTTCTTCAATGACAGCATGATCAGACATTATGGTTCTAGCAAGTTTCAAGACTGGCCATCTGTCCTTTTTCTGATGTACCATTGTATGAGACAAGCATTGTCCCCATATCCTCCACGTTCAAATTCAAAAATAGCAAGCACTTACAAAGTGATTATCCAAGGAGCCTAAAGGAGTTAGGCACCTAACTCATTGAATTTAATGGGAGTTGGGACCAAGTATTTGAAAATCCCAGCCTTAACGTTTATCTGTCTTGATGTTTATGTTCCATTCAAATATTAGGATTCCCTAGTATTTGTGTTTTTTCCACTCAGTCCTGAGGACAGCACGTATTCCCTCCATACATGCAGAGAAAGGTTTGCAAGTCTGGTGATGATATAGGAATATTTTCATGGAAAAATAAAGGGATTTAAATCCAGTTTTAAGCAAAATAATGGAGAACACAGAAGACTCTGGTGAGCTTGTGAAACTTATGGGAGTTCACTCACACCTTGGTTTCAGAAAAGGTGTTAGCAAATTATGTACGTAGTTGCTGTCAGCACCATACAAATTGTAACAGGGAGCCAGCACTTTTCATTTGAGAGCACTGTAATAATTTGTGGCTTGTGTCCGAACAGCAGATTATGAGGAATAAAATACTTGTGATTGGAATTTATATATCATCACAATGTCTGCATGTTGCACAAACTGATAGAATATAATTGGCTTGGCATACAACTGACTACTCATCCACACTCCAAGCCATCTCCAGGATGTAAGCAAACATTAAAATCTCAAAAGCCTACCAGATTCATGGCAGCGCTGGAAAAGGGACAGTTCGTCTTGATATCTTAAATCAAAGGGAGGAGTGTGAAACTGAAAGCTGTATATGTTTTGGGAATAGGAGGGAAGGGTGAATTTGATGCTCATGAAACCAAGGCCAGTTAGCATTAGATAGGGTTCCACATTGAATAGGTAGGTGCATTGGAAGCTTCCTCACACAGTATAATAAAGCTTGCACCTAATGGCTTCACCACTAAGCCTCCCTCAGTCCTGACTTGAAGTTTCAATCCTGTTCTAGCCCTGAAGCTCTCCTCAGCAGAGGCTATGAATTGTGTCAACTTGTTCAACATTTCTGACATGAGCAACCCTTTAATAAGCAGTACCGATACCATAAATCTGGCGTAAGCCGGCCATTTAAGGCACATTTGAACCCTGCCTACCCATGTTTAAATTCTGACAGATTAAACCAAGAGGGAAGTCCATGAGTTTATTCCAAAATTGAATGACCCATGATGTCAGTAAATGAAGGCAGAGTGTAATGCTGTAAAAATCAGTTGTGTCTCATTCATAGTGAGAATGTGATTGCCCTGATTACTTGTTCTCCGTACTAACGTAAAGCAAATACTACTGACGTTTCTCACTCTTCATCGGAGTACATTTTCTATACATGCTAATGTTGTAAATATATTCATTGAGATTCATAACTTCAGCGTTAGCCATACAACTCACAAGCGTTAATGAAAGATGCATGTCTAAAAACACTTTTCAAATTCAGATTATACCCTTTGTCAAGAATTCCAGATCACTTTTCACAAAAGCTGCACAAGATCCCACACTACTTTCTTTCATTAATAACCACTGCAGAGGTTGAACATTTTTCAGTTTGAACCCTTATTTTTAAGGTTGCACCTCCTTTAATGAAGTTTGACATTTTAATTACATGCACACTATACATCCGCCCCAAATCAGTCAATTGCTATAAAACACAGATCTTCCCAATTTAAATTAGACACTGTAGAATCAGACATAATATTAGTGAGAACCACTTAATGTATTTAGATGAGAAACAAGATCTGAGAGAAATTGTTCAAAGGCGTATTAATATTTTTATTACAGAATGAACCATTTTTTAAAATACTGAATGTTGGAAATGAAGAGAAAACATGTACTTGATTGTTGTACTATAATATGTTAATCCTCTAGAAATGGCCAGTAGGAGAATCTTGCACTTGCAGAATAGCTATGTTGCAGGGGGGAAATGAAAACACATTAAAAAAAGTCTACAGTAGCGAGAACAACCTGGCTTCAGAAAGTTACTGGTCATTAGCTTTGCACTCCTAACCAGTCATTAATGTAATATTTGTAGTCTCAAATATTAATCACCCATATTAGCGATCAAGGGGACTCAAATATCCCTATATATTGGTGCCGATCATAAATGAAAACAAAAAAATATATAATTTAAATACAAGGTTTTCCCTTTCCTCTGTTTCTTTGACAGATTCCTGTGACAATCCACCTTCTATTAATGAGAATTGAGACCTTAACAACATATTTACATAACAAAAAGTAAGAATTATATAACACACACATATACATGTATATATTCATATGTATGTCACATGTGCAGATAGACAGTATCTCTTTACTTACCTGCTTCACACCTCTTCCAAAACACTTGTTTATGGGGAGTTCTTCTTGAATGACACATGTAAATATACAGACTAACTAAAACGTATGGCTCCCAAGTCTGAAGTGGTGGTATGCATGTGGGTTCTTCTAAGCAGTTTTGCTAAAATTCCTTCCATCTCCCTCTCCCACCCCGTGCTGGATGCCGTCAGTTGTAGGATGCATGGGCAACTTATAGACTCCAATGGATATAATTTGCATTAAATAGAACAGACTGGCGCAACCACCTTTAATACTGTATCCCAAGGAAACTATAGGTCCAGCATGCAGTGCTTCCCCATGATCTCAGCTACTATGCTAGAATGCTGAAATTGAGAGAGCACTGCATTCTGGAACCTGTAGTCTCCCTGGGCTGTATATCCATATTAAAGATTAGGGTGGTTCCTCATATTTTGTGCAGCCAGCAGGTTGCATTCTGGCCATTTATAAGATTTCTCAGTGCTGTTGACATGAGAAAAGCTATTAAATGGCCATTTTTCCATGAGCAGGATTTGGTGAATATTCCCTCCATGGAATTAATACTCACCTGGTGGTTTCATGTAATAATTCTCAATATCAGACATGTCCGTATGCAGCGCGCACTCGAGATAGCTGAGGATAACTTTTCTACTGAAGTAGTACCTCATGCCCATCAGAAAGATGGGAAAACAGCAGGTCAGCAGCAAGGACTTGGTCACAACAAAGCATATTACTATGGAGATAAGGAAGAGAAATAAACGATACCTGTCAGAAAAGAGAATTTAGTGTTGATTTCGGAATACAAACCCGTTTAAAAAAAAAATCACAGACATAACATACATTTGTACAATATAAACAAAAGCTAATCAAGTTACATTTTCACAACATATTTTAGATTAATAGCACATTTTTCATTTAAGAACAGCCTGTAAAAAGTTTTATTTAACACTCCCACTTCACAACTTACTTTAAAAAAATTCAACTATAATAATTAGATCACATTTGATGAAGGATTTTGCAGTGTGTTTCTGTAAAAACTCCCATCCAACTTGCCACAGTTGAAAAATCCTGCAAATATTATTGTCTCACACAAATATCAAAAGACAGATGTCTCTCTCTATTAAGATAGGTCTGTGATTGCTGCTCAGACAAGATTTGACTGCATCACCAATTCCTGCAGAGAAATCAAAGCACTAAAACCAAGATGCCCACATGTGGCTTTTCATTGGCACAGCACTACAGGGGACAAAGCACAACTGTGACTAAGGAAGATATTTTGCACCACCCAGTAGCTGTGTGCTTATTAATTAATTATTTTGGTCACTGGGAAATATACTGGTTTTCCAGAAGGTCCCCAAGGGCCAGCCATCCCAAAACCTTACACTAGTCTGCTTCAGTATCAGGAAGCAACGTAATGCAGGACACTGAAAATAATATAGCAGACAGCACTGAGATGGCTGCTTGCCCCATCATCACTTATCACTTCAAGCTGTGAATCTTAAGCAAGGATGTCTTTAGATCTCATTGGCACAGAGAGAGGCGGGCATAGACTTCATTGTTCTCAGGTGCATTTAGTATCTTACCAATAATTACAAAAAGTTACTTTACTTTCTTTATCATTCCCTTCTCTCTCCCTGGCCCAAAAGGTGAAGGACCCAGCTGTCTTGCCGCATGCAAAGGGCAAGGGCGTGAGAAAAAAGGGTCCACGTGGCGTTTTCTTTGGGGGAGCTTTTGTATTGATAGCAGCTGACATTATCTTACAGAGGTAATTTTTTTCATTTTAAACCCCATCAAGCACCAACAATCTAGTTTCCTCTCGGTTGTCAGCTGGCCAAGGCAGGGATCCCGCCTTAGTCTACGTTTTATGAAGCTTTGTAACTTGCATCAAACCAGAAGATGCAATGTTTAATAAACTAATAAGGCACGCAGCTTTGAATTAATACTAAACCGGCAGCTCTTTGCAATACGCGCTGGTTACAAACAACGTCTCGCCCCTAGACCCTGCTGAGGTCAGGGCCCCGCGCGGCTGCATGCAGGAGGGCGACCCCAGCAGCAGTCTCTGCAGCCAGGAGGTGGCGCGAGACCGCCCGGGTCAAACGTTCCCCAGCAGCTGCAGCCGCTCGAACGCGTTTCGAGCCCGAGCCCGGCGGTCTCTAGGTAACGCTGGAACCCGGCTGCAGCCGCTGCCCCGCCCAGGTGTCTAGAGAGAGCGGGGAAAGGTGCGGGCGGCGGCGCGGCTTCCATTCATCGCTTCACCTCTCCCCTCCCCAACAGAGAGCAGCATCCCGGCCTGGAATAACTGGAAATGCGGGTCTGGCTGCTGCGGGCAGGGCCCCACCGCCTCCTCCCGCACAGGCGGCAGCAGCTCCCAGTCCCACTCCTGCCAGGCTGCGCCGAGAAAGCGCCATGCGCACCGCCCCGGGCAGCAAACCCCCACAAGCCTGCAGAGAGGAGCCCCCGCCCCGCACCGCCCCATACACACACTTCTCCCCCCAAGTGCAGAGAGACGCACACAATACCACACCCCGGCTGCACCCCCTTCCCCAACCAGCTGCAGGGACTCTCCCCTCCCATTGCGCGCACACATACACAGGCAGAAGCAGAACGCGCAAGCCCCTGCCCCCAAACCCAGTCCACTAATACCTCTTCTAGACATACAGAGCCAGCCGCACGCCCCTCTCCCTCCAGAGAGAAGCCCCTTGAACACGCAGCCTCTCGAACCTGCAGAGAGCATCCGCCCCCAACTTATCTCCCCAGAGAACGCTCCCCACCCCCAGCCAGTAGCCACGCGCACCCCATATGCAAGCAGGGAGCCCTACCCACACGTTGCCTGCAGGCTGGATGCATTTAGTGGCGTTGCACACACTCCGCTCTGCAGTGATCTCCAAAGCGTGGCTCACGATCTAGCGCTTCATTCCTGCTCCTCGCAATCGCCCGAGGTACAGATCCGCTGTTTGCAATATTGCGACTTTTTAACGGGCCTGACTTTTGCACCATGACAGGATAGGATGCGGAGGCTGCGGCTTTTCTTTCCCTCCAGCACCAGCAGCACTGAGACAGCAATTCCGCACCAAATATTAATAGGATCGATGCAGGGATGGGTTCTCCATCCTTCAACACAGATCTTATTACCACTCTTCCTTTTTATTAAAATTGCTGAACAAGTGTGCCCCTAAAAAAAAGTGAATATACTTACTAGCGAATATCCCATAGATCAACTGAATGAGGGGCTGGTGTTTTAACCCTCTAAATGCGGTGTTAGGAATCCTTTCCATGATTCCTTCATAAAATATACGGCGCACCACCTCTTGCTCGGAAGGATGAAATTCTCGTATATAAACGTTGTCTTTCTTGAAATCCCCTTCCACGCCACTCAGAGAAGCTGGGGAGGAGGAAGGTGAGCCGGATAAGGAGGGCCACATCTGGGAGGAAGACACAATGATCGCATCTTTTTTGGATCCTGAAATGGATTCATGATCTTCCGCCACAATCTTAGTCTCACAAACCATTTTGGGAGACGAACAATGCATGCAAACTGGCCGAGAAACAAAAAAGGAGCCCGGCTTTAAATAAGAAACAAAACACGCCAAGCAATAAGTGAGGCGCAGCTTTTATGAGTGCGAAACAAACGGAGCTGGGTAGAAAGCGAGAAAGGAGGGCCAGTGTATTTTGGAGAAGTATTTATAATGCAGCAGAGCCGGTGCAATTCGGAATCAGGGGGTCCCTCAGGGTCCTAGCGTCCTTTGTATTGGCTGGCAAGGGTCACCATGTGATCTCCAGGGGTGGGGAGGAGAAACACCTCCTTTGCCTTGCGTTTTATTGCTCATTACTACAGCATGCATTTCATTTCCTCTTCTCCTTGTAACTATCGAAGCCCTGCTGAGGTATACAGGTACGACGCAGATCTGTCAGAGGTGGGCCTGTCTCCTTGGAGAGGGAAAAAATATGACTGACTTTGTTTAGCAAGGGCTCTCTGACTGAGGTTCAGGTTGACACGTTGCAGAGTTCGCAGCATACCATGTCTGGCATTTAGATAATCTAGAATTCTTCTTGAAAACTACCTGCTCCTTAAAAGACTACCAATTCCTGTTTGTTTCAGTAAAATCTATGTAGGAAAAACACGCACAGATTGTTCTAGAAATAGTGACTATCTAAAATCTAGCTCTATATATATATACATGCTGCATACATTTAAATGGGTGTATTTATATAGATTCTTGTGTATCATGAGCAAATATAGCCAGTTATCTAGAACATCTGTCTAAAAATCCACTGATCTATACCTATACATTCATTATTCTGTAGCATGGAATCTCATTAATGGTCTCAGGTAAGTGGAAAACTTAAGGTTGATTTGGCACCTAATCGTAGTGATTTCGAATTTTATGTCTCAAAGTATGTATCGTTAATAAAACACGATGTGTGGTGTGTATGTATTGTCTTAACAACGCCTTATATCAAAAAGCGATAGGGATGACAAACTGATGACAACTTTGAATTTTCGTTAGGGAACATTCTGGTTTCTAAATGTATTTGCTTACTTCTTATAAACGTAACACCTGGCTCTATTCCTGCTGGAGACCACATTCAGCTGGGGGGGGGGGGGAGGCGGAGGGGAGTTCGCTTTTCTGGAGTGGGAGAGCGAGTCACTCACCACTGCGGATAGTTTCCGGGGCTTAACTCTTTCTTTCCTCCCTTCGTACATATAAAAGCAGCACTCTCCAGCCCCTATTTCTAAAAATACACAGCTCAGCTCCACATAAGCAAACAGCGATCTCAAATCCACGTGAACAATATTCAAAGTGATTTTGGTGCAGCAAACATTAGGGGATTGCTTTGCTCGCGCGAGTTCTCCCCCTGGCCCCCCCGAAAACAACCAAAAGAAACGTTTTCAGTTGTCATCAAACAACCCCCCCACACGCTTGGGTCGCGCTGAACTTTTCCCCCAGCTGGAATCCCGTGCCTTGTACTACGGCGCTGCACATTGTGTTCAGCCTGGCGTCAATGAAGGTGAGTACCGTGCCCCGGCCCCCGCGGTAGCCAGCAGAGGCGCCCCACTCCCACAATGATGCGCTCTCGCGCCTCGGACTGCCAGGGCAGCGCGTTTTGCTCCGCTGGCGGCTACACACAGGGTGAGGGTCTCCCTGCCCGGGACAACCCTGCCGCACGTTACTTGGGGTGTGCATTGGGCTGAGCCTCCCCTCGGGGCATCCTGGAGAACTAGGGCTCGGCAAAGCCATTCAAACAGGCGGACTCGCCAACTCCTGCAACCCACAAGGAGCTGGGGAGGGGGAGTGGCTGGAGGAGGGGAGGGGAGCGGACCCGCAGGAGGAGGAGAACTTTAGTCTCCGCAGCGCCCAACAGCTCAGTCTATCCCGGTTTAAACCGGCCGGGACAGCATCGCTGGTCTCCCCCCACTCCTCCAGCTCCCTCCTCCTTCCCTCCGCTTGAAGCATGCGCCTTGCAGCTTCAGTGCAGGTAGCGGCTTAGGCACCGGCTTGCGCGCAGCGCGGCTCGCCGCTGAGGGCGAGGAGGAGCGTGGGGAGGGGGCTGGCGACGGCGCTTTCCAGCTTCATTAATGCGGGCGGAGAAGAAAGGAGCAATCCGCCCGCCTCTCCCACTGGACCTGGGCTGCTGGAATGAGCTGCCTTCTCCCCAGGCCGCCAGTTCCCGCTGGGTTTTACTGCAAGAGGCTGGAGCACCAGGCGCTGGCTACAAACCGTGGTGCGGGGTTGGACCCAGAGAGATTTTAAATTTAAGTGCCTGCGAATGGAGCTGCTCTTCCGTTAACAGCCATGAGATCAAACAATAGGAATAATGCCCGGCAATAAAGGACATGTTTGTGGTTTCATAACTCTTGAATTATAATCGCCCTATATTTATACTGCTGCTGAGAACTTACTAGCCAACAAGACAAGCACAGCTGCTGGTCAGTGTATTGATGAGATCAGTAACTGGTGAAAAGCTAGGAAACAAAGGTAGGAATAAAAAGGTCAGTTTTCCCAGTGGGGCGAGGTAAATAGCATGGTCACTCAGGGAACTGTACTGGGGCCAGTGCTGTTCAGCATACTTATAAATAAGCTGGAAAATGGGAGTAAACAGTGAGGTGGAGAAGTTTACAGACGCTACAAAATTACTCAAAGGTAGTTAAGTGCAAAGCTAACTACAAAGAGTTACAAAGGGATCTCACAACTGGGTGACTGAGCAACAAAATGATTGATGAAATTCAGTGTAGATTAGTGCAAAGTCATGGACATTGGAAAACATCATCCCAACTACCCATATAAAATGATGAGGTCTAAGTTAGCTGTTACCACTCAAGAAAGATCTTGGAGTCATCATGGATAGTTCTCTGTGAAAACCTCTGGTCAATGTGCAGCAGCAGTCTAAAAAGCCAGCAGAACATTAGGAACTGGCTAGATAATAAAACAAAATATCGTAAAGTCACTATATAAATCCATGGTATGCCCACACCTTGAATACTGTGTGCAGTTCTGGGTGTCCCATCTCAAAAAAGATATACTAGAATTGGCAAAAATGATTAAGGGGATGGAACAACTTCCAGATGAGAAGAGATTAAAAAGACGGGGATTTTTTCAGGTTGGAAAAGAGATGGCTAAGGGGGGCTATGATGGAGGTCTTGTCGGAGAAAAACTGAGTTCTCACTATTTTCAAGAATGGTGTGGAGAAAGTGAGTAAGGGAGTGTTATTTACCCCTTCACATAACACAAGAACCACAGGTCACCAAATAAAATTAACAGGCAGCAGGTTTAAAACAAACATAAGGATTTATTTCTTCACACAATGCCCAGTACACCCAGAGAACTCATGGCTAGGGATTGTTGTGAAGGCCAAAATTGTTACTGTGTTCAAAAAAGAGTTAGATAAGTTCATGGAGGATAGGTCCATGAATGGCTGTTAGCCAGGATGGTCAGGGACACAACCCCATGCTCTGGGTGTCCTTAAGCCTCTGACTGCGAGAAACTGGGACTGTATGATGGGATGGAGCACTCGATAATTGCCCTGCTCTGTTCATTCTCTCTGAATTATCTGGCACTTGCCCCTGTCAGAGGACAGGATGCTGGGTTAGATGGACCATTGGTCTGACCATTCTTATGTTCTAGAATCTAAAGGCAAACACTGAGCTGAAGTATTCTTTTTAATTTACAGCCCCTTACAGCTTGTCCACACAGGAAGGTTAATCTGCATCTTTTTGCTGTGTCAGGTAACACACATTATGCAAGCTGCAGTAATAAGATGCACACAGGATGGTGTGCCCTGTCAATGTGCATCTTGGTGTACATATGGCAATCGTTTGCTGCTGACTATGGGCATGGTATTCTTGAAGAGTATCCTGTTCCTAATGTTCTGTTAGCTTTTTTGACTGCCTGCCGCTGCATGTTGAGCAGAAATCTTCAGAGAACGATCCACGATAACTCCAAGATCTCTTTCTTGAGTGGTAATAGCTAATATAGACCCTGAAAACTACAGATCTCAGGCAAGATCTTTGTCTTAAAGTATATTTTAAACAATATTTAATTTTCATATAGCTAGGCTATGTAGAAATCAGAGGTCCATATATTTTTGTTTGATCTCATCTAGTCAGACATTTCACCTCCCTGAGACATAACTACCAGTATGCAATTGTTGTTTAATAATTAGCCAAGATACATAAAAATCAGTAGTAAGAACCCATCCCATTCCTTTTTAAGAAAAATAATGTCCTGGATATATTGTATCACTGAAGCTTCCTCCCTCCCATCCTGCCCAAGATTCCCCTATTTTACCTGTCTGAGGGCTTGTGTACATATGGAGTTATTCCTGATTAACTCGATGTGTGGACATTCTTATTCCAGAATAGGAGTTAATCAGGAATAACGCCATGTGTATGCAAGCCTTTAGCACTTATATGGTTCTCATCTGTAGTATCTGAGTATCTCACGAACACTGATTAATGTATTCTCTCAACACTCCTGCAAGTACTACTACCCTCATTTTGCAGACGGGGAACAGAGGCACAGAGATATTACATTACTTGCTCATGGTCGCACAAGGAGTCTGTGACAAAAGCAGGCATCGAACCAGATCTCTTGAATCTTGGTCCAGTGGCGTAATCACAAAACTCTTCTTTCTCCTTTATTTTAAACCTAGATTTTCAGATTTCACTAGAAACTGGAGGAAACTAGAAGCTCTAACTCTGTCGCTGAGCTGTGGAAAAGAGACGGAGGAATTAGTGAAAGAGCAGGCAACCGTGACTGACTGAAGCAAATGTCAATGAAAAGTCAGGGCCCAACCCTGCTCTCATCCTGCAAAACTCCAATTGACTTTAATGGGAGCAGATTTGGGCCCTAAGAAAAGAAGGGAAATTGTTAAAACAAATGTTTGGCAAGCCAACTGCTTTGCCAGGGGCTTTGAGTATTTTAGAATGCAGTTGTCATCCCAAGTCACTAAGCATTTTTCTCTTCATCCACTTCTGCAGAACCTAAGGGTGTATCTCACCAGATGGCATGACCTTCCAGTGAACCTGATGGATCTAGCTAATTTAATTAAGATGGACATTCTTTTTAGAGTCCTGAATTTTATTCAGCTGTTGTCAGCCCTTCTCCCTGTTTGGTATAAGACAACATTTTTTATGGATGTTTGATGCATTCTTGCAGAAAGGCAAAAGCCCCAGAATCCGTCTGAGTAAATAACACAATGTTGAGGACTGAAGAGATCTGAA